ATTGTTTCAATATAATACCTTCCAGTAGCTACACCTAATTAAAGGAATTTTACTGGTATACATATTCTATTACCCCAAAGGCCAGATTTCTCAATAATTTTTAGATATTTCTCTTCTTCTTTTTTTCAATATATATTTTTTATAGTTTTCTATATTCCAGGGGCTTAGTGTAATATAAAATAGTAACAACTTGCTAGCAATAATGCAGTGGACTAGAAGGGTTTTTACCCAAAGACACTATAAAGCAAAATATTGTCTTCTCTTCAAGCTGAACTTAGAGGTTTTTATATTTACAATGGATTAGTTAGATTAGAATTAATAGTTTAACAGTAGTATATATTATGCTACTCTAATAAAAATGTATTTGTATTTTCAATTGATTAATAAACTGATGATCTAGCCTAGTTACAGATATTCAGAAAAAAATGAATATATTAAAACAATCCTTATTGAGAATAAAGATAATTATTAATATTATATAAAAAAAACAAAATATAAAAAAAGAAGACACTTATTTTTGATTAAGTCAATTACTATATTTATATTGTTTTTAAATATTTCTTTATAAGAGGTTTTCTTTTCTTTTAATATAGTTATATATATTTATTGTTGATTATTTGTATTATGTAAGTATTATAGATTAATAATATATTTACAAGTTTAGTTTATAACAATGTATTAAAAAATAAAAAATAAGTATTTTATTTATTCAATAGAAAATAAAATTTTGTTAATATTTATAGAAAAAGAAAAGTAAATTTTATAATAAAAAGTAAAAAAGATTAAAAATTTTTTTTTATTTATTTAAAAATAAATTTAATAACATTTTGATTAATAAAATTATAAATTAATTAATATTCTAATTAAAATTATTAATTAAATAATTAAAATGGGTATTAATTAATTAATTAAATAATTAAAATTAATAATAATCAAGAATTAATAATTATAAAAAAATAACTAAAAATTATTAATTAAAAAATTAATAAATATAAATTAAGAATTAATATTTAATATTTAATATATTATAAAAATTTTATAATCAAAAAACTCTTTCCACTGATCCTTTGACCACACACAAAAAAGACATTTGCAAAAAGTTTTCATACTTTTAGGCTAATAAAGTTTTATTACTTTTCTTAAACCAACTTGAAGAAGCTTCAAGAGTAGTCAACCAACTTCATCCTCTTGCTTACCATCCTCCTTAAACAAAAACTTGACCTCTGGTGACCTTAAAGGTCAAGAAACATCTTTTCTACTTATAGCAAAAAAGTTCTAAAAGGAAGAAGAACTAATGTATCACTATTTCACACTGTAGAGAAACACTACAGAAGTATTGTTATAATGAGAAACAACTTATTCACTCTTTTGTTATGTTTTCTTTTCTTATAGTGCTCGTTTTTGATTTTTTCTGAAAATTTTGCCTATCTCAATTTGACCCTGAATTTTGAATAGCACAAAGCTTCTTACATTATGATTAGGCAGACAAAACTCACATTAGTAAAAGAAGTAAATAAGCTCCTATTGATTACTTCATGTGTTCAAATGCATTTTCTCAGTTCCATAAAAATCTGGGATCCACTATAAGTCATTATGTGTAGTGCAAGTGGATAATAAATATTGTCAACTCCTATATTCTTGACTAAGTGAAAGAGAAAGAACATACCCTTTTCTCCTCTCTATCAAGAAAGAAGAAAGAAAACTAGTCTCAAAGGAATATAGAATGAGGACAATACCTTAAAAATGTCATGTTTATTCTTTATTAGCATAAATATTGAGAGATCAAGGAGATCTTAGGGTCATTTGCACCTAATCAAAAACACTAATATATAGTTGAATGACCTCAGTTAGTTGAAGAACATGTCACAATAGAATATTAGACAATAGTTCAATCCCTACAAATTGCAATACTTTGGGAAAAACAGCACAATATTTATCAAGTTCAACAAGGCGCACTCTGGAAGTATCAAGATTCTCCTTTCTAGGTTGAAGTTATCACAATGATAAAGAAGGACAGATTGTTGGATGATGGACTCCCAACTATCCCAGTGTCCATTCACTTTTTCTATGTCCTAGAGCCCTTCGAAATCCCAATTTATTATTACCCAGAAGAACATTAGTAAAAGATCTCATACTGAATAGAGTATGGAAGGAAAAGACAAGAACTGACAAATAAGGAATACAATATAGAGATACTGAAAGCAGTGAAGGAATAGGTACTATTCCCTGAACTGATGAAGCCTTTGAAGAGTAACCAGTCTATAATATCAATATAGTAGTAGTAGCATGTCTCCAAGTCATCTATAACTAAACTATTTTCTCTTTCTTTCTTCTGGTGCTTTTTTTGTAATGCAAAATCTTCATTTCTATTTAAATTTGTATAGTCTTGGCTCCATTTTTCTCCTTTAAATAGAAATCATAGAGTATTGTAACAAATACAAATTCCTTTATCCCTTCTTGGATTAAGTTGGATAAATTAGATTCGAAATATATATCAATCCTTCTTTTAAAAATTTATATTGTCCTAATAGTTCTTTTATTAGATCTCTTTCTGGAGATGGCTTAGCCATGAGCTGGTTCTTTAAACCTATTATTAGTTTACTAGCGTATTATTGTTTTCTTCTGGTCAGATATACCTATATAGTAAAACTTGCTAATAAACTTGGTCAAGCCAGCTTAAAAAAATATTTAATATATTATATATTTAAAGAATATTTAAAAAAAAATCAAAAAAAATATATCAAAAACTATATATTTGAAAAAGATTATTAAAATTTTTATTTGATTTATTTAATACTTTCAATAATGATTATTCTTATATATAATATTTTATTCAATAAAAATTTTTTTTGTCAATTTTTTGAGAATATCTAAAAAAGATATTTGTAAAAAGTCTTTTCATTTATACTGTTAAATTTTTAATACTTTTTAAAGCAACATGAAAAATGAATTTAAAAATTATTTTTATTTTTTATTTATTAATTTTTTTTACATAAAAACTTTATTTTTTGTTATTAAAAAATTCAAGTAATATTTTTGCTATAAATAGTAAAAAAAATCTCAAAAAAAAAAGAATTAACTATATAGTACTTATAGATTTTTTTAATTATTGAAATAATATATAAATTTTGTATGGTAAGAAGTTCTATTTTTTTAATTATATTACTTTTTTAATGTTTTTATTTTTATAGTTTTTTAAAAAATTTTACTGATTTCAATTTGATCTTAAATTTTATATTAATATAATTATTACTAAATATGTTTGATTAATATAAAACACGTTGGTTTTTAAGATATAAACAAGCTTCTTTAATTATATTTATATAATCTAATAATATTAGTAGTAATTAAGAAAGAAGATTTAAAAAGTTCTACTTAAAGTCATAAGTTTTTTAAAAAAGTATTAATAATATTGAAAAATAAAAGGTAATAATATAGATTACAAACTTTTATATTTACTAAATTCCTTAAATAATGAAAGTCTTTATTATATAAAACTGAGATCTTTTTACATTTCTTGAATTATTTCAATTCAATACTTGCTTAAATAATAGATCTATTTAATTAATTAATGGATATTGTAAATAGTAATAAAAAGATTTCTTCTAAAATTTAATTTGAAGTAAAAAGAATATCCATATCAGGCAAATCTCTTTTAAGAAAAGATTATTATTTTGATTAACTTTTTGGAGGATCCTTTAATTGTCTTTTTTTTCTTTTTATTTTATTTTGTTCTTTTTAATTTAACAATTTATAACATTTTAGGTTAATCAATAGTGGAAAAATTTTGATGAAGAATCTTAAAATAAAGGCCGAACCAATCTTTTAAAGAAGTAAAATATTGTTCCCTGAACTTGATTTGGAGAACTTAGGTACAATAATGAGTAGATCACTTTTGTGAAAATATATAATATTATAGTTAGTTACATAAACGTCTCAATAAAAATAAATCAGAAGGAATGGTTGTGAGGTAAAAAAAAATAACAATAATACCTTATTCGATAATATCATTAGTTAATAATTATAAATGAAAAAATTTTTACTCTTTTAATAAATACGTAACTTTAAAGAAATATGATCAACAGAATATTAATTTATATATAGATATTTCATTATATAAAAGATAAAATTTTAATTTATTAATAAATAATGTCTATACTTTTGCTTAGAGGGTGCATAATTATAAATTTTAAAAGTGGTAAAGTTTATGATAAAGCATTATGACTTATTACAAACATTTGTAAACTACGGCACGTATACACTTATACGTATGCCTTTTATTTTTGAATTCTGTTTATTACATACAGTAATTGTATTTCATAAATTTATTAATCATCCTATCCAACTTCAATTATTCTTGGCAATTTAACTAAATTTTTCACGTATTATTTTTTATATAGCTTATCGCGTGACTTTGATGTGATTTTTATAATTAGCATTATTATAAAGTATTTTTTGTGTACGAGTCAAGTACAATAATATATAAGAAATTCACTTAGAATTAATCTGATATGTGCAATACGAAATAATATGCTCAAACAATATGCAATCTATGTTATTGGAATTGGTAAAAAAAAAAAACATATAGTACATATTGATTGTAGGTGACTACTTTATCATTACAAGAAATTCAGAATATTTAGGAGTTATAATATTCGATTGTAAAAAATCTAGGGAAGATTCATTCAAAGAAAACTTTATGAAATGCTTACGTATTTAAAGGGAAGAACAAATTGGAAACTGCGGAGAATTATGAAATGTTACAAGAAAACAAATCAAATTTAAGAATTATTATTAGCAAATATACAAAAAATAAAATTTAAATGCTTAAAATTTTATAAAATCGGTTGTTTCTTTCTATGATCCTGTACGATGAGATGTGGAACTAGTATTTTCGCACAACATAACGAATGACCAATTCAGTGTAACGGAAAATAGTCGAAATTTGACGTTATATTATGCAACAATTTGAATTGTTTATTTTATTATCCGATTTTAACATGCCTTTTGGAATTATTTTACTTCTACTCATTATTTCGGAAGCAGTATGTTTTACGCCTTATGCCAGAGTAGGTCAAACGCAAGCCCTAGTTGGCACAAAGCTCTTTTATGCTGGCGGATATACGGGACTTACTCAGGCCTATTCGAATGAATTATTCTACTTGAACCTTTCCAGTTCATTCCAAGCCAGTAATCCACCATGGGTATCTTTAACTAATGCGAATATACCAATTTCGCCCACTTATTCTACCTTCGTCGTTAGCCCATTTGATAATTTCACCATATATCTTATCGGTGGATACTTAGTAAATCCTAGCACAAATACACCAGATAATAATACATTAATATATGCATTTAATTCTAATGTTACAGAATGGACTATGCCAACAATAAGTGGTAGCTCTCCTAAACGCCAAGAAATGGAAGGCGTAGTGGATAATACGGGAAAAGTGTACATCTTTGGTGGAAGCGTAATAACAAATTATACCACTAGAAAAGGAATTTTTTTTAATGATATGAATATTCTTGACATGGGTACAAATATTTGGTCGACTATCCAACCAACCTCAAACTTTCCAAACCCACGGATAGATTATACTGCGATACTCTTAGATAATAATATTATTGTTTATATAGGAGGAAGAGAATATGCTAATGATATTAACCAAACAGAAATTTTAGTCGATTTACACCAAGTAATATTATTTAGCCATGTTGTATTATTTTTATTTAAAAGCAGCAGCAATATTTACTAACTTTTACAATTTTTAATAGATTCAACTTTTCGACACTAAAAATTCAAACTGGTCGTCAATGGTAAGAATCTTTAAGAACGTAACATCATAAAATAAAACTCAATTTTAAGTCTTACTTTGCATTTTAGACAGCTACCGGAGTTAATTTGCAGGCGCGTAGGTTCCATACTGCTGTACTTGGTGTGTATTTATATTTGCAAATAAAGTATTTTGTCTGTGAGATACAGTATTTCTACATGTTAAACTTTTTTCTTTAAAGCTAAAAACGGCCAAATCATTATCTACGGAGGCGAAAATATAAATTTTACTCCGGTCACACCTAACCTTGCCATATTAAATACAAGTGTTACTCCATATAATTGGTATATTCCAACTATTAATGCTGGTCCTTATGATCCGCCACTTTTAGCTGAACATTCAGCAACTATGTATGAGGACCTGATGATTATTGCATTTGGTAAATACAACATAATAAAGTATAAAGAATTTATATTATTGATTTTAAAATTTTATCTTATTATAATATAAATTAGGTTATGTGCCTAACGCACAGGGATCTTCTACGAATTATAGTAATGCATTGTATCTTCTTAACACCACGAGTTACATGTGGATCAATTCCTTTGTGCCTTCACCTATTTCTGCGAATACAACACAAACTACATCGAATACACCAACTACACCTACGTCTTCTACATCAATATCATCAACCTCTAACGCTATGTACTCAAATGGTGACAGTTTTGATCATAAATTAGTAATTGGTTTGTCTGTTTCATTAGGCTTTCTCGTGTTTGTTATTATTATAGGAATAATTCTTTATTTAGTAAGAAGGGAAGGAGGAAGGAATATTATGCAAATACCAGGCACAAATATGACCACAAACTAAGCTATGCTAAATTACTTGTACAATATTAATAAGTAACATTGATTATTTTGATTTAAAAATTTAATTTAAAACATAATAAACTAAATACTTTTTTTATAGTGTCTTGCTCTCGTTTTTTTTTTTTAAGTTTTATCTCTGTATATTTTATACACCTTAATTGTTATTTAAAGCATATTGACAACCTATTAACATACATTAAAGCTAATTAGAGAAGTATTTTAACTTCCTACCATTTTATATATTAATTAGAAAGGTCTACCACTTAATCTTAACTCACTGTCTTTTTATTTACTATAACTGCAATCGAAGATTCCATGAGATTATAACTATTTTAAACCTTTTTAATATTGTTATTAGAAAAAAATCCCCCAACAAAAAATGAAGTGCAATTTTTTTACATTGTCCTGTGATCTACAATTGCAACATGAGTTGCAACTATTTATTGCCATACACATAAAGATAAAAAAAAAGCAAGAATACAAATGAAGTAAAAAAGGAAATGTATCATCAGCTGAGGTAATAATGCGTATGTGTATTAGCAATAAAGTAATTTATACATAGTAATTATCTCTTGTTTTCTGTGGCTGCCAGAGCCCTGATCTCAATCCTATCAAATATTTTTGGAATAAGTTAGAGCACTGGATTAATAAACATAAGTTCATGCCAACTAGTGAAATAAATTTTTGCAAGAGTGGGTAAAATAAATAAGCCTATTTATCATAATTTTGTAAATAGTATGCCTTATCATATTGAGACCATTAAAAGTATAAAAGAAATCCTACAATATATAAATATAGTATTATTTTTTTAAAAAAAAATTTTTTAATAAAAATTCTAGTTTTTGAAATTCGCTAAAAAAAAATCTTGATAAGCAAGTTTTGTTTTAGTAATTTAAAAAAAATTATTTTAATACTTTCAAAATCTTATAATGCATTTTTCTATTTTTTGCATTTAAATTTGTATTTTTTTTTTTTTGAAACATGCAACTTGACCACTTTGTAGATTTTATATACAATATACAGTGTAGAAAACTTGCTTTTGGAAAATTTTAATTAATTATAATTTGATTAAAATTTTTATTAATATTTATTATAGTTTATTTAATAATTTATTAATTTATTTATTAGAAAATTTTATTTTAAAGTTTAAAAAAACTATTTTAAAAAATATATTACAAATTTTATAAATAATTATATACAATATATTTATATATATTTTTTATGAATAGAGAATATTCTTTTTATTATAGTTTTAATATAATATTTTTAAAATTTTGTTCTTTTTAATCTATTTTTTTAATATATTTAATTAAATAATCTTAATAAAAAATTTTTATTGTTAAAACTATAAATTTATAATTTATATATTCTTTTAATGATTTTATATATTAAAAAAAATTTTTTATCATTAAATTACTTAATTTTTATAATTTTTTTCAAAATTAATTATTTGTGAAATTTTTTTAATTTTAATTTGAAATTTTATAAAATTATATATTAAAATTTAAAAATTTTCCCAAGTAAACTTATTCATTATATTAATAAAAATATATAGCATATCAAAAAGCAAGTGTTCTACACTATATAATTCAATTTGTAATACAATTTTATTAATAGATTTTTTATGTGTATATTATATAAATCTATAATAAAATCAATTAATATTATATAAATCCTTCTTATAATTATTGAAAATAAAAAAAAAAACTTTTTCTTACAAATCCCAAAATTCTTAAAAATTTTCTTTTTGTGCAATTTTTTTCAAGAAACAAAAAAGCAAATAAAAGAAATAAATACTCTTAGAACCCTTGCCACTTCAAAATCAATATAAGATCCAACTACAATAAAAATATTTTGACAAAAGGTAATATGAATATCTTTAAAAAGAAACTAATATAAATAGTGAAATGACAACAATTCTAAATACAAATAAAGAACCTGAAAAATTAACAAAAAATAATTAGATCTCTCATGCAAATGAACAACTAATCCAGTAACTTGTAGTCAACTATTAAAGTCCTTAAAACTATACTGGAAAGAGTATAACAACCTCAGAACAACATATATGAAGTGACAAAATAAAAGAAACTATCTCTCCTAGAAATAGACTGCAATCTAAAAAAGTATATAAAGAAGAGATACCAGATATTCAACAACATATTCATATATCAGCAAAAATTGATAACTCTAATATAGAAATATACATAAAAGGAAAAAAAGAATTAGATCAAAACTTAAACAACAAAAAAACTGAAGAAACATGTAAGTTTAAGGAAACTAAAGAAAAGACAGACTAAAATCTAGATCACTATTCGATAGAATAATAAGATATAGAAAGGAAAGATTCAAATTAAATATTGTAGCAAATAATATTTCTGGTACAATTATTGGTCAAAAGATTATATATTTGATTAAAGCATTGAGAAACTCAAAGAGCTTTTTCAACATTCTTAAAGAAAAAAAGAAGATATGATTATATCTACCTTATTTGAGAAAAACCATATTGCAAAAAACATATATAATCTAATCTTATCTAATATATATTAAAAAAGATTAATATACCTGACAATTATGCAGACTGAATTAAAATAAAAAACAGTATTAGGATATAGAATATTTCCTTAACTATAAAATTCATAGAGATACAAATAACTTTTATTGGTTTTGGACTAATTATCAATATATAATATATTTAAACCAAATATGATAAATGACAATAGCTATATTTTAAGATAAGAAAATTAAAAAGTAATTTATTTAACAATATAGTATATTTATTAAGGGTAATATAATAAGAATAATATATATATAATAGGCTAATCCACTATTTTTCTAAAAATTTTTTTTTTTGGCAATTTTTTTGAAAAAGCAAACCTGGTAAACACACAAGAAAAAACAACATATCTTTCAAATCAAGCTACCAAGCTTTAGCAACACACATACAACAAGCCCTTCAGAAACATCAAGAAAAGAGGTATACATTGTTTTACTAATTTTCTTTTACTTCTTTTTCTTAAAATTTTTAGGAGAAA